AAAGATGATGTTGATTTGTATTTATCAACAAAAATACAAAAAGATGATAACTTTAATATTTTAGAATGGTGGAAAGATCATCAACATGTTTATCCAAGACTTTCAAGGCTTGCTGTCTATTATATGTTCCAGTGCACCTAGTGAATAGAGTTTAGTGCAGCTGGACTTACAGTTAATGAGCTTCGCTCAAATTTAAATCCACAAACAATTGATAGTATTCTTGTATAAAGAAGCTCATTATAGTAAAATTTTCTTTCTTGTAACGAACAATTGCAATAAGAGTTATTTTTTAAATAAAATCATGTTACAACGTTGTTAAAAAACAGGTTGAGTTCGGGTTTGGATTGAAATTTCTTGTGTATATACAAGTCGGGTTCAGGTTGCAAATTATAAATTTATATGGGTTCGGGTTGGGTAACCATTCAATTATGATGACCCGTGCAGGCCTCTAGTCCTCATTGCCACCGCAAATTCCAAATTGGGCTTTTAGGATCATTTCTTCGATAATGTCAGGATCTCTGTATCGCATTACTCTGGTCTATTCGTCCTTTTTTAATTTCGTTTCAATTATGACGAGCGTATTTTGATGCTGTGTTTTTCAATGGAATATTTGTTTGTTGACAGACTGAGCAATAGAGCCATTCCCCAATCAATATGGAAAAACATTAGCGGATAAAAAATCATGTGAGCGTGAAGATTCTTCATGCTGATGGCAAGAAAAATTCAATAAATTATTGATCATATGGGTTCCATGCTAACAAAAAGATAGTTCGGGTTCAAGAACCCCAAAATGAGTTGTTGATACCACTATATTCTTTGAAATAAGGATTATAATTTGGTATAATTTTTATTGACATTCAATTAGTAAAAAATTGTGTAATTAATCCATAAAGTTATATTGAATACTGACCCCAAAATCCTTCTTTGATATAAAAAAGGAAATGATCTACGACGATTAAAATAAAGATAAAAACAAACTAACCCTACATTTATTTAAACTACTGTATTTGTATAATTAAAAATGACTTATATATCTACTTTATATAAAAAATCAAAGATTTAATCAATCTGCATTACATTTGAATTAGGATTTGAAAAATGAATATCTCTATAGCGAACATCTACAAATTTGCTAATTTTTTTATACAAATATAATTTTCTTTTTAAATCTACATTAATTGGAATAATATCAAGAAAATCATTATGATTAAAGTTATTATTTTTTAAAAGACTAAAACATTCTTCTTCACCCCCAGATTTTATTGAAACAAATACTTTCCCTTTGTTTTCAGGCAGATTGTTAAATCTAAAATGATGATATTGTTTTATATTAGGTAAAAGTTTAAAATTTTTTTCAAATAATTCTTCAAAATTATACCATTTCCACCCTGTACCATCTTTATATTGTATTGATTCATTTCCTTCTGAAGAATTATTAATAATGCTTTCAATATCATTAATTTGATTAACTTCACTATTTCTATATAATTTTTTTATATTACCAAAAAAAGAATCACATATAAATTTTGTATGCCCTGGAATCATAAAGTTAACTGTGATCTCTTCATACCAACCCGACATTATTAACCAAGTCCAAAACTGTAAAGATAAATTATTTTTATTCTGTCCAGAGCAATTATCACAAGTTATATGTAATTTTTTTTTCCCATCCTTTGCAAAAATTTGCAATGCTTGATAAACTAAATTTAAAGTGGTATTTGCACCCTTAGATTTACCTTGAGGGAGTTCATCTTCTCCTATTAAAAAATTTAGTTGTCGATTTTTTCCTCCTTCAGTTTTACAAACTCCAAATAAATTAACTGCATAGCCTGATAAAAAATATAATGCACCTGTTTGCTGGGGTGAATAAGGAATGGTAACATTTTGTGCCCAATCATAACAAATATGTGCAATTGATAGATCATTTTTGCTTAATTCAATGTTATTATTATAATGATCACGTTCAAGATTTGCTTTTTCTTTATGTTCATTGAACTGAACTTTTATTTCATCATACTCAATATTTCTCTTTGCTAACTGTAATTTTGATTTAAATTGAACACACTTATCACACAAATCACTTGCAAGAGGTTGAAACTTTAAATTAGGCATTAGCTCATTCCATAACCTTCTAAAAGAATCATAAGAAATGATTTTTTCTTCTGAATCATTTTCTGATTCAACTTTTAAAATATTTTCTAAATAAAATTTTTTAAATTCCTTATACACAGACACAAATTTTTTATCAGTGGGGAGATAAATAAATGCACCAGAATCATTTCTATGTCTCATTGGTGAGGGTAATCCATGTATTAAAGAATATTGATTTAGAAAGTTTTTTACAATTGATTTTAAATTTTCATCAATATTGACTTTAGTTTTATGTATAGGAGCTCTTCCTGTATTTCCATGAATTCGTTCACTTATTCCTTCATCATGCAAATGCTTTAGAACATTATTGAATTTAGAATCACTTATATTGTATAGCTTTAAAAATGCTGTTTTACAAAGAGCATAGGTTGAATTAAAACAATATCTATAGTTTATCCTTTGTTGGATCTTTTCAGAAGATTTTTTATAATTTTTATTCTCTATTTCCATTGCTAAAAGTTGTGCTTTTAAAAACAAATCTAATTCTTTGCTGTTTAGATTAATAATTTGAAAATGTCTTTCAAAAAACTTTTTAAATCCAATTCTTTCAAAGCAAGTTCTAATATCTTTTTCTTCTTCAGAACATTTGCAACTTTCTGGACTTTCAAAAAACTTTATTAAATTATGTACAATAAATTGAATATTTTCATAATTTTCATATTCCTCTAAACCAAGTTCAAATAAATCATAAAAATATTGAGAAGCTCCTTGATTAGTTGACATGTTTAATTGGAATTAATAAAAGAAAATTTAATTTAGAAATATTAATTATTTGCAAATTTTTAATTAAATTGTGTGTCACAAACCAAAAAAGGGGTAATAACTTTGTTTCTAGATTAAAAAAATCAGGGGTTGTTTTGATTAGTGAAAAACAAAATCAGCTGATTTCTCAAAAACCCCATTTTTTCCCGAACTATCTTTTTGTTAGCATGGAACCCAAATGGAAGTAGCCGAAGAAGATAAAAAGAAGACAGCTTTCATTTCGAAACATGGATTATATGAGTTCAACAGAATGCCCTTTGGATTAACCAATGCACCAGCTTCCTTTCAAAGATTAATGAATAAAGTATTAGCAAAAGAAATTGGACAATTTGTTGTAGTATATCAAGATGATATAAATATCTATTCTAGAAGCTTTGAAGAACATCTAGAACACTTAGAAATAGTATTTTCACATCTTAGACAAGCTGGATTAAAGCTTGGAAAAGACAAATGTTCATTTGCAAAAACACAATTGGAATTCCTTGGACATATAGTAGGAAGAGATGGATTACAACCTGACCCAAAGAAAGTAGAAAAAGTTTGCGATTGGCCAACACCTAAAACAGTGAAGGAAATTCGCTCATTCTTAGGATTAGCCTCCTACTATAGACGTTTTATGAAAGATTTCTCAAAAATAGCCAAACCTATGTACAATTTGGTTAAAAAGGATGAAGAATTCCAATGGGGAAAAGAACAAGAGGAAGCATTCAATAAACTTAAACAATTATTAATAAATGCACCAGTAATGGCATATCCTGACTTTGATAAACCATTTATTCTACATACAGATGGATCACATACTGGATTAGGAGCTGTCCTGGAACAAAAGGATGATGAAGGAAGAGGAAGAGTAATAGCTTATGCTAGTAGAACCATAAGAGGAGCAGAGGAAAGATATTCTGCAACTGAATTAGAATTTCTTGCTTTACATTGGGCTTGTACCCAAGAATTTAGATTATACTTGCTTGGAAAACCATTTTTACACGTCACTGACCATCAACCGCTAAAACATTTAAAGAACACAAATGGAGGGTCCAAAAGAATTCAAAATTGGCGTGTAAATCTAGAAGAATTTCAGTATCAAGTTGAATACAAACCTGGGATAAATAATGGGAATGCAGATGCTCTATCAAGAAGACCGGAAAGTCTATAAACTACCAATTAATTAAGAGAGTAAAATAATAACACCACATATCTCAGGATGGAAATTCAACTATATAACGGCATTAAACACTACCTTACTAATCACCAACCTCCAAGGAATATACCTCCAAAATTAAGCAAGCAAATAATCAACAAAGCAAGTAATTTTTGAATATCTAATGACAAACTATATTTTATACTGTGAGATTGTAAATAAGGACTGAAGAAGCCCCGAGCATGTCGATCGATCGGAACCAATTTACTGCGGCAGCCACGTGACAATGACATCATTTTCTATTTTTATCTTAATATTTTGCGTAACAACTACGCCACATACTGCGTCATGTTACACATTGCATCATTTCTATTTTTAACTTATTTTATGACATAATTATTTACTTTTAATTATTAATTCAATTATTTGTAATGGTGACTCATAGGATTAGTCATTATGAGTCATAGCATTAGTAATTAATGATTAGTAAGCTAGTATTACAGAAAATAGGATTAATAAGCATATATTATTGGACAAAATATTGTAAAGGTCATGTTATTTGTAATACCTCAAGAGGTATAAATAGGCTTGGTTTTAGACCAAGTGAGAA